CGTGGCAGTGCTGGCGGGAGGGAATGCTGCGAGAAGGTTGCTGGAGCAGAGCCTTATCTCCTGCAGGTGAAGGTGTGGGTGTACCCTGAGGGCACGAGGAACTGCACGGGAGATTTGATGCCATTCAAGAAAGGAGCATTTCATCTTGCTGTCCAGGCACAGGTAACAGTGCTTTGCTTCCCAAAGGCTCCTCCCAAACGTGAGGACCCAAAAGCTTTTGCAGTGGCGTTGCAGGCTGGCCATGCTGTGGTGTGGTTGGTTTGTTCCCAGGTGAAGCTCATAGCTCACAGCTGTGCTTCTCAGCTCAACCACCCTTAGGTGTCCTGAGTTCTGCCTAGCAAGAATAGAATGCCTATTTTTCCCCTCCAACAGAGAGCCCAGCACCACACCAAGAGCTTGCCTTGGGGATCCCACAGCTGGCAATTAATTTCTTAATCCCCCATGTAGCAACAGCAGAGTGCTGATTTGTGTTTATTGATGTTAGTGCTTTAGAGCATCACCTGGGCTTCCTCTTGGTGAAAGTAGCAGCCTCTTCCCAGGCTGCCACAGGGGCTGCTCTGTGCTGTGTTAGATGCCTTCTCTGCTCAATATGGCAGAGTCCGTGGGAGAGGAGCAAACAGCTCCTGAGCTCTGGAAAACTGGAGCTGTTGGTGCTCCTGAAGGAGCAGCAGAATCCAACTGTGGCCAAGGGGGATTGCTGCCAGCTGGGACACCTGCTCTGTTCTCTGGTGCCAAAGGAAGGCGCACGCGGTGCCTCAGCCTCCAGTGCATGCTGTGCCTCCATTCTTGGGACCAGAATCATTGGAGACCCGAGGGGAAATGTTCCCCTTTCACAGAGCATTGCAGCAGGGATCCTGGAGGAGGGAGCGGGTGCCAACCTCCTTCTGGGCTTGGCAGGGCCTGAAGGGGAGGACAGTGGAAATGTCGCCCACCTCTGCTCCCACTGCTGCCGCTCCCCATGAGTCACCAACTGCAAATCATGTCTGTGTTACCAGCGCCGAAATAACGTGACTCTGGGCCTGCCCTCCTGGCTCTGTCTCTGCCTGCCTGAGCCTTCCTGGGAGCACTGATTGCAGTTGGTGACACCCCTCTCTGAAGCTGAAGGCATGGAGGCTGCCCAGCCCCAGCTTTGTGCTCGTGCAGCACAGAAAGGCCTGTCAAAACAAGCAGCCTCGGTGTGTGCAGGTCAGGAACAGCTCAGCCTGGCCCTGGAGGAGCCGAGCTGAGCTCTGCAAGCAGTGCTGACCTGAGGCTGAAGTGTCAGCTGTCCCCAGTGCCTCAGATGTCCCAGTGCTCCCCAGTGGATCCTGACTTCCCACTGCAATTACTCCTCTTCCTCCCCAAGGTCCCGGTGATCCCCGTGGTGTATTCCTCCTTCACCACTTTCTACAACCCAAAGAAGAATCTGTTTACATCAGGTATGAAAGAGCTTTCATAGCTTGTCAGAGATGGAGCGATACCGTGTCTGCGTGGGGATGTGGGAGGGAGGCCGAGCTGAGCAGATGCGTGGAGGCAGTTCAAAGCACTTAGCACCAGAGCTGGGCTGGATTAACTCAGGGCAGGATGTAATTAAACGTTCCAAGGGGTGCTTTCATTAAGAACTAGGTACCACCTCTCCCTCACATAGCTGGCACAGCCCAGGTGGTTTGGAGAGGGATTGTGTCTGGGGGGAAGAAGCAAGCATGGTCTGAATTCTGGTCTTTCACAGCAGGGACCCCTCTGCAAGTTGTGTTAAAACTCTTAAATCTGTCAGTGTAAGTGCTGGGCAGCAGGTTGGCTTTCAGCCAGTGTGAATCAGTAATGTTGGGAGCAAGCCTTCCCTCTGCTGCTGGCTGGAGGTAGGAGGGCTGGGCAGGAGCAGATGGATGGAGCACCTGGTGCTGAGCTCTGTGTGCTCACCTCAGCCCTGCAGAGCTCAGGATGGGAGCAGCCTCTAATGTCCCCAGGTCAGGGCATGGGAAATGCTTTGCTCCTTGGAGCAGCTATTTGGGGCAGGGTGTAATTCTCAGAGAATCTCTTCCCCTGAGGGCAGCACCACCTCTGCTGGCAGGGGCAGATGACTGCAGGGATGGGTACCTGGGGGGCTGCAATGAGCCAGTCCATGGCAGGTGTTCTGTAAGGGCAGAGAGCAGCGCTCCTGCGATGGGAGCTTTCTCACAGGCTCCTCTTGTGCTTCCAGGCAAAATCAAGGTCGAGGTTCTCCCGCCAATAGAAACCAAAGGGCTGACATCAGACGACGTCTCTGACCTCACTGATAGATGCCACAACATCATGAGGGAGACCCTCTTCAGGCTGTCGGGCCGACCAGGCGAGGGGAAGGATTCCTCCTAGCTGCTGCTCCAGCGGCGTCACCGTGTGGCGGTGGCTGAAGGGACCCATCTGCTGCCAGACACCAAAGGAACATCTCTTCCTCTGCAGTGACTTGAAACTCTGGGGATGCTGTGGACTGGCACACGAGGCGTATCGAGCCAGCAGCGAGGCTCCCTGTTGAGTGGATTTCTCTTAAGGGTTCTTTATCTTGCAATGAAACGTCTCCTCTTTCTGTATTTCTCAGGCACCAAACGTATGCTACCAAAGGGCTCAATGACCAGAGAGGTGAGTTCTCCAGCTCAGGCAGCTGCCGTGGGGCAGTGAGGAGGGCCTGGTAGGAGCCTGGGCTGTGCCCTGTGTGAATGTCCCCGTGCTCCTGCTGGCTGTTAGGTGCTGCCCCAGATGGAAAGCCAGCAGGCAGCAGTGTGTCCCTGCACAACCTTGGTGCTGAGAATTGGGAGAAAATCCAGACTCTGGCTGTCCGGCAGCACAGCCCTGTGTTCAGTGCTGTGCCCTGCAACGTGCTTCTGCCAGCATCCCCAGGTGGAGCAGAGCACCGAGGCTTTTTCCTGAGAGATGCCCTTGGATCTCAGCAGCATCTGTTGCTGGGGCTCTGCGTTGCCCAGGCGTTCTGGAGCCAAGCCTTCCCCCTTTGAGGAAAGCTCCTAGGGCCAATAACTGAGCTAAAAAAGGGGAATGCATGGGGCCAGTCAGCCGTGAGCCTTTCCTAAAGCCCAGCTTCTCATTAGAACAAGTGCTCTCCCTCCCTGAGGGTTACAGCAGTGCAGAAGGAAGCTGTCATCTCACCGAGGCAGTGCACGCTGCCTGGGTGGGTTTGGCTGTGCTGTTTGTTCGACCTCCTTGCTGCAGTTATCCTGGGGTGCTTGGTGCAGATGCAGAGGGCTCTGCCACGCTCGTCTTGTCATGGTCAGCACTGGCCGAAAGATGGTGCCTGTCCCATGTCTCTGTGCTGATCTCAGTGAAGCTGCTGCTCCGCAGGAGTTGCAAAACTTGTGGGGAGCCTACAGGGTGCGTGAGCTGAGTCTGCAATGGGGAGAGTTTCAGTTTTCCCCCTAGAGAAAATAGGCTCCATCCCTTTTAGAGGAGTTTGGATAAAGGGCTTTCCCAGCTCTGGGATGGCAGATGGGGCAGTGCTCCTGGATCCCTTGCTGTTGCTCTCTGTGAAGAGGGGGCTGGCTCAGGTCTGTGATTCCGGGGCTCAGGGAGGCATGAGCACTCTTGCTAATGCAGCAGGGAGCACCATGAGATGAGCAGAGCCAGCTTCTGGAGCCTGCCTGTGGCTGCGTTGCTCTAAGTGGATTTGCAGGGCATTTTGAAGGGTAAATCCTCACCTGGGCAAGGCACAGCCGGCAGTCTCCAAGGCAGACGGTCCTTGTGGAGCTGGGGCTTTATCCTAGGGTCTTTATGGTACAGTCTCAGGGGTCTCAAGGGTTCCCTTGACCCTGCCAAGGGAACGGGTCGGGGTGGGAGGATGGAAACCCAACCAGCACTTTGTAAGAACAGCAGAAAAATGGCTGTTATGGAGGTGAAACCCAGGAGGATCAAAGGAGTGCTCAATGGAGCAACTCATGCAGCACCTGGGAGAAAGAAGCAATGCCTCTGTGTGCATTTGTCTACTGTTCAGTTTTAATTGGGTTAAGAATAATGTATTTTGCTTAAAGAGGGGGGAAAAAAAAAGTATGTCTTTGATTATTTAAATGAAGGAGACTCTTGATTTTGTGTGGGAGCTGAGGGAGGAGGGCTGCTGTGGGAGGAAGAGCCCATAGCAAAGTGGGGCCACGGAGGGAGCTCCATCCTTCCTGTAATGAGCCTGCGGCCTCTGTGCACAGTAGGAGACTTTATTTTAGTGTAACTCTTTATTTTAGTATAACTCTGCAGCACGGCTGTACCCACAGGGCTCCTCCTTGCAACTGTGGTTGTAGCAAAGTGTTGTACCGCATTGCTCGCGTCTGCTCTGCTACACCTGCAACCTTGGCTTGAACAAACAGAGCTAGGGAGGTTGGCGTGGACTGCCAAAGCAGCAACGGTTGGGTGGGGGAAAACAGCCACCTTAACAGTTGGTGCTGTGCCAGTGTAAACAAGTGGGCTTTGTCTGGACTCCATCTGCAGAGCAGGTGTGCAGGGGACTTGGCCTCACCCTGTTGGCACGGCTGAGTGATGCAGGTTTGTCCCTGTCTGCTCTGTGCTGGTGATGGGAGCGTCACAGGGAAAGGTTTTGCATTAAAACAATAAAACCAGGCTCTGTGCCTTCAGGCCTGTGTAAAAGCATGATGATTAACTGCCCTACAGGGCTAAGGAAGAGGCAGACAAAACCAAGCACCACATGAATTCGTGTAGAGCCAATCTCTGGCACAGCCAGACGGGCACTGCTAATGGCATGAGGTAAGGCATTTATTTTCTGCCTCTCCAGCAGGAGTGGGGTGAGATGCTCAGGGTTAAAAGTCCAGTTTGGAAGTAACTTCATGACTTTTGGTAAGGTGAGTTGGAAGAGAAAATACTGGGAATCTGATGGGAAACCAGCTTTGTCATTCTACCCTGCGTCTTCTGGAGATGATGCGTCTTCGGCCCCAGACTGGGGCTGGAGAGAGAGACAAGTACAGATACAGTCTGCCTGTTCTGATTCTTTGGGTGCTCAGCTAGAGTTCATTCTTGCAGGAACCTGGAAAGATTAAAAAAAAAAAAAAGTAAAAAATCCAGCACTGTTGTTAGTCAGGGTTTGGTGTGGTGGTGGCACCTCCAACCAACACAGCAATGGGCACAGAAGAGCAGGTTCTCTGTGCTGGCTGTAACCAACTCCCCTGTCTTTTCACAAGCTAAATAATCTCGCTGTCTCTTCCCCCTAGAAAGATGAGGTTGACCTCGGCACCTATAAATGTCATCTACCTCTACTGTTTTTCCTTTGCCCAGCAGCCCCCTGCTGATTCCATCCTGCTGGCTCTGAGCCTGGTAAGCCTATGCATAGCACCTCAAGGCAGGGAAGGCACTGAAAAGAATGCCAGCTGGGTCTGGGCTGTCCTGACCGCAGCTGCAGCTGATGCTCTGCACTCACTGCAGTACAACAGAACAGTCTTGTATCCTCCAGGGACTTCCAAGAACATAGGAGGGACAAAGGCAAGTTTTGCCTGCTGGAACAGGCTTGGCAGAAGCTAAATACAGGACTTTGGAGTCATCCCTTGGAACAAATCCACGTTACCTTGTGATGCTGCTCCCATTCCTCAGTGCTGTCACTAATAATAAGCATAGGGCAATGCTAGGAAACCTGGCCCACTGAGACACTTACAGGTTTTCTTAATTACCCCTTTCTGAGTTTTTCTTTAAGCGTCAATTTGCAGCTTCAAGCAAGCTCTTTGAAGTTTTTAATACCTAAGCCATTAGCACAAGCAGTGAACTGGGACTGGGTATGCCCTGAAACCTCCCTGTCCCTTCCTCTTAACAGGCAACGTAATCCCTGTGCCTTTAGCACGAGGCTGCTGCCATTCAGTGCCTACTATTTAAGGCACCTCTGTGGTGCACTGCGTGACAAAGTGCTGCTCTAAAGACTTCAAGAAGAAACATGCCTAAAACTTCCCAGGCTCATAAATCTGCCAACTTGGGCACGCTCCCTAAACTTTGCTGATTGACTTTTTGCACTGTTAAGTTTTTAAGACTTGGAGCTTTTCATCCTGGACTAAGTTACGGTGCTACAGGGAGGGGGGAGAGCTGGTGAGAGTGCTGTGAGATGTGCCCCACTGCTCAAGGCAGCCTCCCTCTGCTTCTGCCCAACAGCCCTGTTTCCATGTGCCTCTCTTACTCTGGCTGCTATGAGCGCAATCAGATGGTGCAGCCAAACAGACAGCTTTGGAATGAAGCTAATGGGTTGTTTGCATTCATCTTTTATTAATTACAGGCTGCTGAGTTTGAGGGAAGATCAAGATTAATAGTGATATATGTGTTACTGATCTTGCTGGCTTGCATCTGCTCTCTACAGCCAAGATGCGTGGCACAAACAGCCCCGAGCAAAGCTGTGGCACTGAGGTCTGAGGCTGTGTCAGTGGTGTTTGAATGTGTGGGGGGAAAATGGGGACAGTGCAGTGCTTCACCCCTCCTCTTTGCAGGCACTTACACGTCTCCAGCCGCTCCTCCAGGAAGGAGATCTGCTCGCTCAAGGAGTCAATTCTGTCCAGCTGCTGGAGGGAGTGGGACAGTCGGCTGATGGGGTCTGTGCCAACGTCCTCTGGTGCAGATGGCATGAGGTTGTGGAAGGGAGCCAGCACCAACTGGAGTTTCTGCAGGGAGAAGAGGAGCCATGAGCAGTCAGGAGGCGCCTCAGCGCAATGTTTGGTTGCGTTCGAAGGGCTGCTGGGCTGGAAGAGCTGCTGGGAGGCTCTGCTTGCAGTGTGGAGCCCAGCTGGGATCCTTGCCTGCTCCCTGCTTGCGTGAGGTCAGCGTGGTGTTAAAAATAGAGCAGGGGTGGAGGGAAACCCTGGCTGTGCACAGCCCGGGCTTGGAGCTGGCTGCACAGGGCCGCAGGCAGGGCAGGAAGGGGCAGATGGGGACATCAAACACACACCTGCTCCAGTGCTTCCACTCTGTTTTTCAGGTCTTTCATTTCTTCCTTCATTTCACTGGAGGGATCTGAAAAAAAAAAAAAGGACCAAATGTTAGTAAAAATCCATTGCCTGAGGTGAAGTGGGATGTGCTGGACTCAGGATAAGCAGTGCTGCTTGGTGCTCCCCTCCAAGGGAATCTCAGGGTTCAGGAACTGGATGCAATGCCCACTGCAAGCACAGCAGTACCTAGAGTAAAGTGAGGGAGTTTCTCAGGCTGTGGGGTGATGCTTAAAGGACAAAATATCCTTTCATGCCTTTGCTGCCAAAAGATGAGTTAGCTCCCATGTCTTCCCTGTCCCAAGGCGAGCTCCGCTGTAGTGTTGTGACAAAAGCAGGTGGTGTTTGGGACAGGCAGACGGCTCTCCCAGGTGTTGCCACGTGATGCCAGCGCTGACCACAGCGCATTATTACTCACGGTACGAGTTTGAAGTGTCACAGCGCGTACCAAAAGTAATAATGGGCCGTCACCAGCAGCTCCTGATGCTCCTTGTGGGTCTGGATGGATCTGCCCCGTAGGAAGGATGACGATGATGATGGAGAGCACAGCCGCAGTCCCGACCACCGCACGCCACAGCCAGGCTTTGTCACCCCTGCAGGGCCTGGGCTTGTGCACAAGGCAGGTTTTGTTCCATCTTCTAGCTCTTGCCAGTCCTTCTTTAGCCATCCTGTGCTGCTGTGTTAATCCCAGGTTTCACCAAAGCCCCCAGGCAGCTGCTACTATGCTGCAGCAATGGGCAGTTACCTGCTTGGCTGAAGGTTCCTGGCTCGGGGCCTGGCACCACGGGCTGGCATGCCTTGTTATCAGCAGCGAGGCTAAAGCCATCCCAGCAGGCACAATGGAAGCTCCCAGCTGTATTGACGCAGAGCTGGCTGCACCCATGGCTCCGGCTGGCACATTCATCTGCATCTGAAAGCACAGGGGTGGCTCCGTGAGGACAGGACTGGGAGTAAAATGCTCAGGGGCAGAGAGGTGCAGATGGAGCAGAGATGCTGCTCCCCCTGCCGAAGCCACACTGACATCCTCAGGGTGGGGATGTGATGGGCCAAGGCCCAGATCACTCTCCCCAAACTTGGCTGGCAGCTGTGTGGGTGCCCCTCAGACAGGGTAGGAGCACACTGAGAAGATGCTGGTGTAAATATAGGATACCCATATTACTTATTTATCCAGAGGAAAAATCTGGCCTCCTTCCTACATCCCTCTCACCCTCCTAAAGGTAAAGCCAAAGATAAACTTAGAAATGCCCATACTTTGGCCAGAGAAGGCATCATCCTTGAGCACAGGGGTGCAGGCAGTTCCATATCACTGCTCTCAGTGTCTGGCTCTCATCCTGGATTTATGGTCAGGGTTTTGGTTCCAGCCAGCCGTGGTGAGGAGCTATCAGCCTTTCAAGTGTGTATAAAACCCAGTAACCTCTCCTCACACGGGGGAGTTATTAAAGCTGTTCCCACAAAGCAAAATGAGCAGAGCTGCTTCCCACGCCTGGGCAAATCTGTTCTAGGCAGTGGGAAAATCCTTTCCCCAGCACTGGAGCTGGAGCCATCAGAGATGTGCTCAGCCCAGCCCTGCCCTGCCCAGCACGGGTCAGTGCCACGCACTCCTCCTCTGCCTTACAGGAGGGCGGACAGCCAGGAGAAGTGTTGGAAGTGGTTTGCACCATGCTGGTGTGCTCTGCTGGATATCCCCGTGCTCCAGTGAGGCATCAGGCTGCTCTCGCACAGGAGAGGAGCCCTTCCCCTCCACCCCCGGATCTTTTTGCTTTACAGATTTAGGTTCTGCAGCAAATGAGCGTCTTCGTTTACAGCAAGAGTTTACAAAGGCTGGGAGATGGGTCACTGTAAATACGCAGCCTTGGGACAGCCCCACGTGTGTGAGGGCTGCTCTGCTGAAGGCCCTTTGCTGACTACAGTCACAGCAGAGCACAGCCCCAGCTCGTGCTGACCTAGCATGGTCCCCTATGCCAGGAGGTGCCAGGAGGGGAGCAGGGTGCAGCAGTACCTGTCTGGCAGGAAGGCCCCATCCAGCCGGGCGGGCAGGCACATCTTCCAGGGAAGGTGCAGCGGCCGCCATTCTGGCATGGCAACTGGCACAGAGCTGTGAGGGCAAACAAGCACAGCATCACTTGGTGGGACTGGACATCTCCTCCCCTATCTCCATACGTGTGTGCAAACACAGGACAGCACAGCCTTGTGGCAGCTCTGGGCATGGGCTGCTCCGTGCTGGTGGGGCTGGGCTGTGCTGGGGGGTGTGGTGGGAGCAGCAGGAGTGGGACAAACAGGTCTTGGTTTGGAAAGAGGCTGAGGGGCCTGCATAGGTCAGGGGAAGGATGCTTTGGCATTGGGGTTGGACTCAATGATCACTGGAGGTCCCTTCCAACCCCCACAATTCTATGATTCTGTGAAGGAGGGCCACGCTGCACCCTGACAGCTCAGGAGAGTGGTGTTGCTCTATGTCTCTTCTGGAGACAGATTAGCTGCTGATGTGCCAGTGTGTTCTGCATTTGCTTTATGTTGCACATCACAATGTCCTCCTGAAAGCATTTCTCTTCCATTACTGCTGACTTATGTGGAAAGAACTTGCTAACTTTCTTCATCCTCTGGTAACTCTAAAGTTAATAAGCGATCCCACAGGAAAAAGGCCTGAGGCAGCCAAGAAAGCCTAGAAATTAATCAGAAATTGAGCCACGTTTGGTTGTGCTATTGGATGCTGAAAACGTAGATGGAAGAATCAGACCGGTGTTGGTCAACAAGAGAGCTGGCTGCTGGGACGTGACCCACCCAGGATCAAGGGGCTGGGGGACAGCAAAGTGAACAGGGCTCTGGGGTGGCCAGGTGGCTTTGTTACCTGTGTTGCAGCTGATCTCGTAGCTGCTGGTTCTGCTCCATCCAGGACAGCACGAGGCCACAGGCTGAGGTACCTGTTTGTACACCTGCCGGTAGGCAACCTTATAGATGGTCCTGCAATACAGAGATGAGGCTGAGTGTCGGGGGGCAGCCCCAAGCCCCCAGCCCAGCTCTCACACTGCTGTGGACGCTGCTTCCCCCACCTGTAGGTGCTGCACAGGCGGTGGCCCTGGCAGGTGGTGAGGTAGGGCAGGTACACGGGCTGCACGTGGGACTCGGTGCGGGCAGCTGTGCGGCTCCGCGGCTCCGCAGCGCAGGTCCTGCGGCTGAGCAAAGGAGAGCAGGTCAGGCAATGGTTGGCAAACGACTCGCTGCTTCCCCCATCGTCCTGAAAGGGCCGTGCTGATTTACACCAGCTGGGGACGTGGCCTGACAACTCCTAATTGCACACGGCTATTTAAGAGGCAGTGGCTCATTGCCCAAGTGACCCAGGAGGTGACTTCATGCTGTTAGGGGCAGCGACACAAAGCTGCAGCTCTATGGGCTGCACGGCCCCTTCCTCCCCAGCCCCTGCACAAAGGCACTGACCCCCCTCACACCCTGCAAACTTTCTCCATCCTGAACAGTTGGGGTCCAGATTTAAGGGAAATGTATTCAGAGTAGTTCTCCTTCCATTCTCTGTCTCGCTTCAACCTAAAATCAATCACTTTTGAAACGTATCTTTTCCTTTCTGAGCTTTCTGTGCCCCTGAACCTGATGTGCCTTTGGCCAACAAATTAATGATTCCACAGAAAGAATCAGGCTGATGGTAAAAAGATAGAAGACAGAGGAAAGTCACCTTCCGTTCCTCCTAAGATAAGTGAAACCCAGTCGAAAACATTCCCAAGGCCAACAGCCAAAGCAGTATCAGTTAAAGATTCTTTCTCTTCAACATTCCCCAGATCTGTCCCACCAAGGAACTTGCGTGCTCGTCTCAGCCTCCCAGCTCAATTATGAGCTAGAATTAAAAGGCTGGGAATTAGCATGGACATCAGCTGGCTTCCATTAACTCCAGAAAAGTCCTTTCAGCTTCACTGGTTAACGTTACGGAAGATGCAGTTTTTAAATGGAAATTGTTTGTTTTGCAAATGTTATAATAAAGCTATAGCTGAAGTTGGGTGCGTGCGAGAGAGGAATTCAGCCTGTGGGTTTAGTCACGACCAGAATGTGAAAGGTTTAATTCTAGAGGAGAGAATTTCAATGTAAAAACAAACTTTGGAGAAAATGAGCTGGATGTGGGGGGCGGGGGCTGAGCTCAAGCTCCTTTCAGTGGGGGAAGAAACTGGGGCATTGAGCACCGAGCCTCCTTTGGCCATGGAGATGCTCGGGCTGTGCTGGGATGTAGGGACAGCGTCAGACCCAATTCCTAGGACAAAAGCAGACCCCAGCCAAGAAGTGACTCTGCAGAGCCTCCTCCCAGCTCCTCGCCCAGCCAGGTGCCCCTGGTGCCTTGCAGAGGGGCCCAGCATGCGCTCATGAGGACAGATCTGGGAGATGCAGACTAAAAGGAGGCTTACCCCACCCGGGTGAAACTGTCTGTGCTGGTGGCACTGAGGATGATGGCGAGTCCCGAAAGAAGGCAGCTGATTCGGCGCATGTCCTGTCTCGTCCTGCAGCACTCTGGGCTGTGTGGCACACACTGGGGTCACTCCTCGGGGGGAAGCATGGGCTCCTACTGCATGGCTTGCTGCTCAGCGGCGAACTCTGGAACAGAGAGAATGGCAGTGTGAGCACGTGGTGCCCATCCCCAGCTGGTGGCATCCGAGGGATGTATGGTGACGTGAGACTGATGGCCAGGTTTGTGCTAAGGAAATAGAAATGTCCCTGTGAGACATCCCCACGGTGCTGGGTGGGCTGGCCGTGCTGTGCTGTGCCTTATTGCAAGCTCTGCCAGGATGTAAGACAAAGAAGAATGAGGTTCTCTGCTTTCCAGTGACACACAGGGGGGTACAGGACCCAGCGGGTCACAGCACAGGGAACAGGGGACATGTGGGACAGGGCCATCGCTGAGGCAGGCTCCTGCTGGCACACACCAGGGGGCTGCACAGAAAGAACCTGCATCGTTCCGAAACATGCAGCCAATTCCAGGCAGCAAGGCCAAAACAATGGCCTGTAATTTCTTAATCCATACAACATTGTAAAGCTGCATTTTCCCACCATATAACATACTGAAATCTGATCTTCTTCTCTTTAAAATACAAGTTCTTGCCAGGGAAAAGTTGCTTTAAGGGCCATATGTACCATCTGTATACAGAGTGAGTACTGAGTTGGAAAGAAAGAGGCTTTGATTTTCTAGCAATGGGACAAATACGAAGCAGGGCTGAAGAAGGTCAATAACAATGCCTAATTTAAAAACATGTCCAATTTAAACAAAACAGTTGGCCTCCGGATGGCAGCAGTTAAAGGAGGAAGGAATAAAGAATCCCACCTTAAGCACATGACAATTAAAGAAGGAGTCAGACTATCTGATTAATCTTTGGAAAAGAAGTTGCTTTACTGGGACGCAACACGACAGGAAACAATCTTCTGAAACTGCAGATAAAGAGAGCTACCTAAAAGGTTCTAAAATCCTCTGGTGACGTGGGGTGAGACTGGACCAGAAAGCTGCAAACTCCTCTGGGACAAATCCTAACTCTGAGCTGTTGGGAATATTCATCCGTAGACCTGGGAGTCTCCAAATCCCTCTCCAAGCCAGGCAGCAGCATCTCTTTGTTCAGGTGAAGGAGGCACAGAAGCCCCTCCTGCAAACGGCATCACCAGTGAGGCAAAGGCTCTGTGCGCTGAGCCGGGCACCATCGCAGCCAGGATGCAGGCACACAGCCCGGCCTGCCTGCGCCTTTCCAGAGCTACACACAGACACATATTTTCCTTCCAGCCACAGATCCCCTGGCCAGCGGTGCTACTGCAGAGGTCTGTAAGTCAAACTCTGCCAACCATCGCAGTCCTCCCACAGAATTCCTGCGGCCGCCATGGGAACTTTCCCCGTGGGGAAAGCAAGGAACACAGGGCACAAGCTCCAAACGCAGGCACTGCTTCTTTCTTTTCGAAATAGAGCAGCGTTGTCCTACCTCAAGTAGTCAGAATGTCCCTCTGGGTTCGTAAAATTATGGTTGCTTAATACCGGATAAAGTTTCAAAAGTGGAAAATATGATAGTAAATACTTGTGTTTTTTATGAGTTTGTGAAAATCAGCCCCTCCAAAACTGCAGGAGATCCTCCAACCTGTTGTCACTGCTATTCTAATATTCCTTTTTTAAAGCACGTGAAGCTACAAAGAAGCACCTGAGCTTTTGCTGGTTATGGGCTCAGCCATGTGCTCCTGGAGGGAGGCTGTGGGGCCGCTCCTGCCAGCCGGAACCTTTTCCATTCTGCCTCTGTGCTCTCTTAACTTGCAACAGCAACCAACAGGAAAATACAACCCATAAGGGAGTTGACACGGGCTGTACTTCGTCCAGCTCTGCCCAAAAAAGCCAGGCTAAAACTCCAGGTGATGCTAGCAGCATGAGATAGGGTCTGTCTCCAAAGTGATGCAAGAGAACCCTGCCCTTCAGGAGGAAGCAATAACTCCAAGGATAACACAAGCTGCACTTCCTGGAAGAGCACAGCCTGCCTCTGCAGGTGGAACCTCTGCTCCCAGTGGTGCCCTCAGCTGCCAGACCCTTCTGGAGGGCACCACCATCAGGGGGATGGATTTTCCCTTACAAACATTTCCAGCTGTTCTCTGCACAAGCTGACACCTGGGCACCATGGAGCACGGGGACATGGGCACGACGGCAGCAGAGATGCAGGCACGATGGGAGCAGGGACAGGAGCGTGCGGGGCAGCGGGATCCACGGAGCTGGATGCAGTGAAGCAGCACAGGAGAGACTCTGGCTCCGTGCACAGCAGAAGAGGCTGCACGGTGCAGACACCGGCCGCGCAGGGATGCCACCCCCAGCCCACAACAGGCCCAAACCCTGCACGTACATCTTCCCCGGGGGCACTACGAACCCTGCCCGCACCCTCGGGACCCTCCTCCGACCGGCCTCTGCCCGGAGCCCCGCAGCCCCTCCGGTCCCGCTCCGCCGCCGCCTCCAGCCCGGCGCGGTGCCGTCCCCGCTCCCCCGCCGCCCGCTTCGCCCCGCGGAGGATGCGGCTGAGGCTGACGCGGTCCCCCCACGCCGCTCCGACCCCTCTCCCCACCCCGGGCAGCGGCCGCAGCCGCCGGGACTCACCGCTGGCGGTGGCGGAGCCTCGGAGTCGCCGCCGCGCCGCGGCCCCCCGCGCGCTTCCTCCCCCCCGGGCCGAGCCGGTCCCTCCGCCCCGACCCAATGAGCTCCCGGCGGGGAGGAAAGCGGTGCCTCCCGGCCTGGGGGAAGCGCCGGGACCCGGGGAGCCTCCGCCTGCCTCCGCCCCGCCGCCCGCCACCTGCCCCCGCCGAGCCGCTCCGGCACAGGCAGAGCCCCCCGCCGCAGCCTGGCCCCGTTACGCGCTGCCGCGGTGCCTCTGTGCTGTCGCCGCTTCTGTGCCGGCTTCCAGGCTCACCTGCAGAGCGCCCGGACGGCCCCGCACCGCGCTACGAGATCCCCGACCCCGTCGCAGAGCGGCTCTCCTGGGTGGGCAGGGGATTAACGGGGAGGCAGGGAGATCCCTGCGAAGCCCCCAGCCCTTCCCAGGCTACCGTGAAATCTCCCGTCACCGATGCAGTGACCAGGGCAAATTTATCTCTCTGTGCTAATAAAGACTGTGTCTGGTTCTGCATCTCCTTCCCCCGGACACCCGACACACCACATAGCTCCGTGGGGTCCCACCGTGCCCCGGTGATCTCCCCGAGCTCATTCCAACAGCAAACTCCTGCAGGAGAGTGCAGTGAGTTGCCGGGACAGGGATCAGCCCTGCGAGCCCTTGGGACGCTTGAAGGCTCCCTTGGATGCCCTGGGACCGATGAGGCAGATCGGTCCCCCGGCTGCCCGCAGGCTTTTGCTATTAAGCACTCATTTATTTATCAAATAAAAAAAGTCTGCAGTTCGGTTAGTGCCAAACTGCCACTTGTTTTGTCTACATTTTTCCCTGGGAAATTAGAGCACAGAGGCTTATTGTTTTTCAAATGACTTAGGCGCCTGCCCGTGCTCAGAACCAGCCTTAAAGATAGCAGGGGTCTGATGTGTAACTGAATGGCAGGATACACCCTCCTGGGAATATTTGTTCCCATTAAGTTTTGCAAGTTTTTTTGTTTGTTTGTTTTTTGTTTGTTTTTTGTTTTTTTTTTGAGATCATGTAGGCATTTAAAGGAAATATTTACCAGTTAAACAATAATAGCTACAAAAGAGCAACTGAGCTTGCTGGCTTCCCCGTGGAATCGGAGCTGCCACCAGTTGTGCTGAGCCCTGCAGCAAAGTGGCTGCATGCGAGGTGTGCTGGGGGGACCCACAGATGGGCTTGTGTGGCAGTTTTGCTCGTGTTCTACCCAGGGGAGAGAGTGGAACAGCTGGGAATCAGCTCAGGGATGTGCTGGTGGAGATGGAGCTTCACTGCCAGGCAGGACGATGGGATCCGGAGGCAGGAGCACTGCCTGCAGTGAGGGGAGGGCTGGCTGCTGGTGGAAGCGCAGCGCCGTGTTACACAGCATCGTACATTGCACAAGCAGGAAACAGAACAGTTTGCTCACTCAGCCAACCTCTGGGGAACGATTGCAGCTCACGTAATCTCCGAAGCGCGAAGCTCAGGCAGCTTTTCCCAAGAGCCTCAGAGGGACAGTAATTATCTCACTGTGCAGAAAGCGTTACTGTTGTTTTCTGGTTTATGGGGGAGATGAATGGTGCCTGATACTCAACTTGCTCAATAGTTGCAAAACGTGCTCAGAGGGCGGTGGAAAGCTTCTGTCTGGCTCTATGGAAAGCACAGGGTCTAAAAGCACAGCCAATGCACTCACCTTGTCCGCAGCGCTCCGTCACCCGGCCCGAGCGTGGATCCTCTCCTTAAGGAGCATCTTGGTTCCTCACTGTCGGAACAGAAAAGCCCCTGGTTACACTCCCTCTGTCCTGCAGGCAGGTTATCAGTGATCCAGCCCGTGAGAGACCTGCTGTGGGGTCCCAGAGACTTCACAAAGCTCGGTGAGAAGTGGAGTGCCCCATTCCTGCTGACACCCCCCAGTTATATCAGAGTTCCCTTCCTCTCACTTGGGATCCCACCTGCTGTACCCCAGCACTGTGTTCAACCACCTGCAGCATTTTCATGTGCTCATATAAAGATCCCTCAGTGCGGGACTACTAAACACAGCGCTTTCACTGTCTCCCTTATCACCCTCTCAACCATTCCACAACAATTTCTGAAGTGCATTATTTTAAAATTCTGCAATTGTTTGAGTTACAAAACGTTTGCTTTTCAGCTCCATTTACTTGGCCAAATCTTTGCACAAGCCAGAGCCCATGTTATCTGCTTAAGAACTGCAGATAGCCCATTAAAAGAGCACTTAATCGTCCACTCCTAGGGAGGGTTCAGTGCCTTGGATGCCAATATTCATTATGCTGGGAGGAAACCCCGCAGGACATAGCCTGGCAAAGTTCCCTTGAAGGCAGTGATGTTGCACCAGCTCTGAGCAGGGGAAGGTCAGAAACTGGCTCAGCTAACATCGGTGTGATGAGCTGCTCACCGTGGCAGTAAGGCATTCTGGTTTGCAGCTGCACGTCTGCCTGAATCTGAAGTCTTCCTTGGACAGGCAGTTTCCCTGCTTCCTCCAAAGCCTTCTCCCTTGCACTTTAGAAGCATACTCCCACGACATCTAATATTAATACTTGTCTCCAGGCCAAGGCAGAAATGTTTCTGGCCAACCTCCCTCTTAGATTTAACAGTGTTCAATCTCCTTGTTTCCCACTGGTTCTACCATCAGTGCGAGCTACAGGGTGCCTCACCCAGAGCAGGTCTCTAGCCACACACCAGGTGAGCCAGAAGGTAGAATTGCCACCCAGTCCCAGATCCGACCCTCCTGCAATGTGCTCACATTCAGGGGCCAGAAGTGCTGAAGTGACAGCTGGAGATGGATGGATGGATGGGGAGAAAGGCAGGAGAGTGACACACATACAGATGCAAAACCTTTCAGCTACCACAAGGCACGGCTGACCCTGTACCTGCTGTGCACAGTGGTCTCTCGCTGGCCTCCATGGGGATCTGGCTCAGAGCTGGGGCTTCTTGCTGAAGGAATTGGAACTTTTGGTGATTCCGAAAAAAAGGGGAATCAGCTTTTTCTGTCTTAGGACAAATTATTTTGCTCAGGCTTTTCATAAAGCTGTTTGTAAATGTTACACTGAAATTTAGGCTCCGGAGCAGCCCCTGTTCTGCAGAGTTCTGTAAGGAAAAAGACCTCCCACTATTCTATTATGTTCCATATTGTTCTCTATTGCGTCAGCTGCAGATCAGTTATCTCGGTGGAAATCTAGTGGAGTCCATTGATGTCAGTGGGATCAAAGCAGGTCAAACCAAGAAAAGTGCTTGGCCCATAGCACTGAGTCTCTCGTCACCAGTTGCTGAGTGCAATGAGTATTATGACCCAGATCAGATTCCCACAAAGTGATTTTTGTTTTGCCTCAATAAGGGCTTAACAAACGTCGTGTGTTAGAACCTGAGTCCACCAGAGACATACAGCAACCTAAATGTGGCCATGCAAAAACAAATGCGTAAACAGGACAACATCCTGCAGCCACATTTACTTTCAGTTAGAGCACTGATGAGTTCTCATCTGCATTTCAAGGCAGCAGTAATGGCTGCTGCATAAAAACTGGGAAATGATCCATGGCACTTAGGAATAAACTGAATTTTGCTGCTTTCTGTGAAAATTCCCTGGCAAAAGCTGGCGTTAGTCAGTGGGGAATGGCCCCAGCTCTCCCCTCTGCATTTTTCCAGTGAATCACTCCCTGAGGAGCGCACAGAAAGTGTGGTGGGAATGGCTGCAAGTAGCATGCATGGCTCAGTTGGTTCCTTTAATCACAGCCGTGCCAGTGAGCGTGGCATTACACAGCTTTTTTTGCTGTAATTATCCTTCTATATCAAGAGAAAAACTACAGCTCCAGAAATGGGCCAAGCGGAGCTCCTTCTTGCCATCACCTCCTGAGTGATGGGCAGACCTATAACGTTTACGTTGGGAGAGGGGACAGAGAACTAAATAACAGGTTTTATTACCTTCCTCTGTTTGCGAAGGCCCTTTCCTTGTCTTTCTCTGCCTGCCCTGAAAGCTTAAGTTAAATCTTTTTTCTGCATGCACTTCTGCTGCTGGTGTGACTGTGAGTCAGATTCGTTTACACTAATTTGTTGCAGTTTGTAAATCTGTCTCCCTGGAGCCAGACCCATCTGCAGCATCAGAGTCTGGGAAATAGCTCAAATAAGCCTGCATCCCAGACTCAATTTCTCTTCTTTACCTCTAGGGAAAAGTAGTGCAGACTGATAGCTCAGAAGCATAGAGAGAAACTGACTCAGTGATGGGAGGAATCACAAGGATCACAAGGGATAACATTCAGAGCCTGCCAGGGCAGAGGTGTGTGCCCACCTGTAGCCCCACTGTTACCCAGAGTCGAGGCAGGTTTGTGAGGGAGGCTCAGGGCCTCCGAGCTTCTGCCTTGCACTGCTCCCCAGGCAATGCCAGAGCTTCACATTAATTTTACTCCCTGCAAAATCTTATTATTTCTTCTGCGAATGTTAGATCCTGTGAAAAGGCATGCTTGGCTGTGCCTGTCAAGAGCTATTCAATGGCACGATGCTGCTTCACGTGCGCGGGTGCCCAGCTGCTCCTACCCGCATCCAGCCTTTATCCCCCAACACCTCAGGTGAGGAACTGAACCTCCTGCCTGCACTGCGTAATGCCGCAGATGAGGATGGCAGGACCCCCAGGTAACTGAAAAAGCACACATAACACCCATGGTTACAAATTCCAGAGGCTTTGCTGAGCTGCTGGCACGCTCCAGGCTCACAGCGTCAGCCCTGGCAGAGCCCCACGTAACATGCCCTGTAATGTGTTACAGCAGAGGTGCTCAGAGACACGCAGATGGAAACAGAGAAGGAGTTATGGAAAGAAAGGTGGAAATCACACGCACAAGTGTTGCAGCCTCCCTCCGCAAGCACAGAGATAAAACGAACCCTCCATCCTGTGGGTTGGATATAGCATATATATGCTTCTATACATATATATATACATAATATCCATCCATACATAGCAGTGCTACAGGTCAGGCTGGCGAACCAGCACTGGGGACATCTCTCAGCTGGCAAGTGCCACCCACAGCCCCACAACCCTTCCGACCCTCTCCATCCTACCCGTCGCTGCTGCTGTGACAGCCACAGCTCACCCCATACCTGCAGTGCCCCGCTGTCCCTCGCCGTGCTGGGACCAGCCCCGCTGCCACATTGCCTCGTGGCCACCGGCCGCCATCCCCCCATGGCCGCCCTGGGCCCGGAGCCGGGCACCCTCCTGTCACCCCCCGCATGGCCGCCCGCCGGCCGCGCACAGGCAGGAGGTGGCTGCTGAGGTGGAAGGGCGGCTTTTTATGCTTTTCTTCCTGTATAAATCAGGCCGGGGATGGACAATCCCAGACAGGACTTCCTGTGTGTGTTGTGTGCTGATAACGGGGCGTTGTGAGGAGAACAAACACGGCCGCCGCGGGCCCAGAGGGGAGAGGGGCTGTGGGGCGGCACCCCTGCGCCATGCCTGCCAGCCCCCTGAGGTGGGGGCACAGCGCAGAGGGGAGGGCCGGGCGGCCGGCGAGGAGGTGCTGACCACCGCCTGGGCCCCCACCCACAGCACAGCCACGGATCTAAGATGGCTGCCCCTGCCCTTCAGCCCTGCAGCCCACAGCGCAGCTCGGCTGTTCCCTGTCACAACCACGCTCAGAGGGGACCGCCGGGGATCCCCGCCGCATCAGGGCACCCTCGGCTCGCGCCAAACGTGGCAGGGCCAGCGGCCATCTTCCCAACAGGGGGCCGGCCATCTTGGTGTGCGGCACCAGCCCGGTTTTTTGTGGATGGTCTGAAATCCATCAGCAGCCAGGCAGTTCTGGGCTGGTTCATCCCAGCACGATGTGATCCCTGCGTCAGGGATGAGAATGGCGCAGCGCCGCGTGGGCCACTCAACTCACTGGAAAGCAAAAATGGTCCCTGCAGTGGCAGGTGCAAAAAAACACCTGGCTGTTCTGGAGCAAAGCGTGCTGCGATTTCCACTGATCCACGTGCGTACGGTTCTGCATGAGCACAGGAGGAATTCAGAGCTGCCCCATCTGCCCTGCTCCGTGGACACAGCCCACATCACACTGCATCCTCAGCCCAGGCAGAGCGGCCATGCTCCTGCGCAGGCTCAACAACGGAGGATGACTCCCACCCTGATTCAGCAAAATACTACTCCAGGCAAGTCCCATAGGGCTTGCAAAATATTCCTGTGTTTATTTATATAAATGCATGGCTAAAGAAAGACCCCATTTGTTTTCCTTGGCAGAAAGGGTATTTTTCTGCTGCCCATCATTCTTTCCAGCAATAGGTGATTTTGTACTGCGAACCAAAGGACTCCATGGGAGGTTCTCCCCACCTCCTCCAGACTGAAACCCCTGAACTTTGGGGACAATTTGAGACCCAGCCTCTATCAGCCACAGCACTGCTTGGCCCTATGCTGCTGTTCCTGTGTCCCCTGCCCTCATTGCTGGGGCATTTGTTGCACACAGGGCCACATGCAGGAGTGCTCTGAGCTCATCGACAGAGAAGGATGGGATGGGATGTGTGGAAAATGCTTCGTATTTACTCAGCCTTCAGCTGCTGGAGTGGGAAGCAGGCAGTAGGGCCAGACAAATGGGTGGCTTTACATTTGGCATTTACTCACAGCCTCTCTCTACCCACACACCTCCAGCATCTCCAGACCTGCTGCTGCCATCCGCCAGCACACACAGCCCCAACAGCCACCCCAGCCCACAACACAGGGACATTTTAGTAGTGGTGAGGTGGTGCTGGGACTCACTGCAGGCTGAGCATGGCTCACACAAGAAGACAAAGCCAGGACACGTGCTCTTCCAACAGCCCTGCATCATTCAGGGCCTGTCAGGCGTGAATTGTGCAGAGGAACAGAAAGGCTTTAGATTCCTCATTAGCACCAGCCAATTAGCATGGCATGCTGCTCTCCCCTCAGCTGACGGACTCCAGATGAATACCTCCTGCCCACACTGATCCCCTCAGCGCTTTCAATAACAGCATCAATCATCAAGCAGCAATCAAAATCAGTTGACAAAATCTCCACATTCACTTTGCACGGCTTTTTGCAGTGCGGGGAGCATGAGGCAACCCAGGCATGCTCAGGGCACTGCTTCTCCTCTGCAGAGCCAGCCCCAACCCCAGCCTCACCTCCAGCCCTGAGCAGCCCCAGGAGCATAGCACCAAGCGTTTCCAGGCTTGGGCTGCTCCAAGTCTTTGAGTGACAGCTCAAGGTCCTCTTTCCTTCCCCCTTCCTGTATTCTCCATGGAAAAAACTACTTTACTGCCCCTTGCTTGTTTTTGCTTGTTTTATTATCTGTGGATAACAAAAGCACCAGTCCCACTGCAGGGATGTTCTGCTGCTTACTCATCCAACACCCATGGACTGCTTTTAAATTCCTGCATGAAACCTGCCTGCATAAATTTAACTGCTAATTTTAGGCGTTGTGAGCTGCCATAGGATTTATTTCTTCGTTAGCACTTCTCACCATGTGGGAGAGCCTTGGGAGGCTGGCAGGCAACTGCAGCTTTGCCAGGAAATAGATTTGTCTGCTCCCGGTGAAATTCTTACATGAAAACGAACTTTATTCACTTTTTGTGTTTTAGAAAGTGCCATCTTGGAGAAGTCTGGATTTGGGAAAATGTCCCCTGAGATGATCAAAGTCCCTCAGTGCAAAGGTTGAGCCTGTAGGCCCCAAAGTTGGAATGATTAACTGAAGTGGTACCTCTGCCACTGAAATTTCTCTCCTGTTTTGTTTGTTTTCTAATAAAGAATATTAAAACAAAAACTCCCCCCAAAAGTGGGCTTCCTCTGCAGGAGGTCCATGTCTCAGCCTCCCTTTTGCTCCCTGCCTCCCAGCAGAGTTCAAGAACAGCCTGATAAGAGTGGGAGAAAGCGGGAGAGATGGGGAGCAGAGACTAAACACTGTGTAAGATGCTGTCTGCCATACAGGCAATCAAATGGGATGGGGACAAACTCTCATGTCCTGCAGCACTGTTTCATGGTGCCAGTGGGACCCCAGCACATCCCAGCCCACAGGGAGCAGGGACGTGCCTTGCTGCTGCTGTCGTGACAGCATGGAGGACAGAAACAGGAAAAAGCTCAGAGCCTCTCTTATGTTAAGCCAGCTTGGTGACGGGCTCTCTTATCCTTGCTTTGGGCGAGATAAGGTTTCAGTGCTGACTTCCAGAGCAGCTTTGTATCTCACTGTTCACCTCCCATCGCTGCAGTGGGTATCAGGCGTTCAGAAAACATTTGAGCATGACCATATCTTTCTGAAACCCGTGTGCAATGGAAAGACACACAGGGTGGATCAGACTGACCCTGTGGGGTTCTCAGTGTCTTGCTGTCTTTGTGACAAAACAGATTTCCTCAGCCAAGTGTTCCAGCACCCTGCTGGGCTGAAACCCCTGGTGGGAGGAGATGTGATCCCACCGTGACTGTCCTGCTTCAGAACCTGGGTGATCCACGGCCATTTTGAGGGCTAATCCAGATTAATGTTTGCTTTTGTAGATCAGTGAGAACCGCATTTTACTGCAGCAAGGCACTTTCTCCATTGTCCCTGACCTTTGTGCATATTGGAAAGTAAGCTGCACTTCCCCAAGATGATTTACTGACATCTGTGCTGTCCCCTATGAAAGACCTGACCATATAGTCTTTGAAAGACCTCCGGACATTATTTATTTCTATGAAATCCTAAGGCAACACCACAGGGAATGACTGGGTGGAAAGAACACATTGTAAACACAGAGGAGAAGGAATAAAGCCCTTTGCGAGGAGCTGGGGCATCAGCTGTGTGCAATTTGGGTGATGCAAGGACAGGACCATCCTGATGCCCAAAGCCTTCACAGTGACTCATACAGAGCTGGCTGTAGCAGGAAGGCCCTGAAAGGAGAAATACTGCCTTCTCATCACAGAAAAGCAATTTTTGCTCACCAAATGGCACCACAGGGCACCTTCTTCTGGGTTGCTCCATTCTCCACCAAAGCCCTGACTGCCAACAGCCCTCCGCCTCCCTCTCCCACCAACTTTTCCCGATCATTGCAGACAACAGTAACAGAAATGTTAAAACTATCCAGTTACAGAACAAAACCTTACCACCTACTACAAGTTTTCTACGTTAAAAATAATCGGCATGTTGAGAAACAAGCTCTAAAGGCCGGTTGTGATCTGAACCAAACCCAGATGAGGTCTCTGTGGAGAAGTCCTGTAGAATGGGTAAATAGCGATGTACCAAAATTACAATCAGCATCCAGGTGTAGGAATCAGTGGTTTTTGTTTTTTTTTTTTAATAAAATTAATGGAGTGTGTAGATAACTGTCTCCCTATTAGTGGATCTAATTCCTTGGTTGAAAGTCCTCCCCAGGAAACATTTATGTCTTTTTGCTGACTTCACTGGATTTCAGCAACATAATAGAGAAGTGGAATTCAGCCTAAAAGCCAGACGGTGAATGCAGAAGTCAGGACTTAAGAAAAAGATACAAAAAAAGAACTGTTGATATGCCCCTTCCCTGACACGTCGCAGTGTATCAACATGGCCACTGCCTTTATTTTGTTTAATCACTTATCTCCACCAAGGGAAGAGGAAATTCCCAAGAATGCACGATCGTTAAAAATATTAACCAGGCCTGGTGATTATTTTTGGTAGCTAAAAGCTTCCTGGCCGAAGGGTTTGGGTTTGCTTTGGACTTCAGTAAATGTTTTAGGATACCGTTCATAAATACCCATTATGCTCAAACCAGTGTGCAGCTCCGTGTGCAGCTGGGAAGGGCGGGTGTATGCTGCCCGTTCTTTGTTCTGTAATGCAGCGTGGCGAAATGCATAGCACTCCACTGGATTAGGATTAGCTATTTTCTTGTATCCTTAAATAAAGGACTAGTTCACACAGCCCGAAATCTCTGTTTCCTTTCTGGCAGGAAACAGGAAGTGAATGCGAGGGGCAGATTTGGAGTTTGCTTGTAAAGAACAATCGAACTCCCATCCAGAGGGGAAGGGGATCTGCGTCAAGAGGAATTCACTTTTTTTTTTTTTTTTTTTTCTGGAAGGGAAGAGAAAATGACCTTTAGTTTAAAAGCCTGAAAGAATAAAGGTCTGAGCATTCAGAGCTGCCTGCACAAATATAGCCATAAAGGCCTTTTCCTGACAGCGGCTCCGGCTGCTCGCCCCATCCCTATGTGAGCACCGCACCGCGCTGCCCTGCCAGTCGTCCTCAGTGAAGGGCAGCACCCAACCCTGCCTGCAGTTCCTGCTTAGGAGGGCCAGCCTTGGCTTTCATTCTTCAAAA